AATTTAATCGTCCCAAAATATGCAAGTAACGCTTTAATGACACAACTGAGTATTCGCAACATACACTTCTTCAACCTATTTACTTATTGCGACTGTAAAGCAATGTAGAAGTGATGGATGGTATAATTTTAGTATGTAGGTGATTTTGGCACAATCGGTACTAAAACTAGCTAACCTGTTTCACTTTTTAACGGCGTCAGCGAACAGTTCTTCACACAAGATAATTTATATTATGTATTTAGAGAAAATCTGACCATTGGACGTACTCATTTTTATTGTTCAGCAACGATTTCGATCGAATTTCTGCTTGGACACTAAATTGGCAACGTCACTTCGTATTATTTGTCCATTTAACTAACCACTCAACCCCATCTTTTGGTTATGTGTATTTCGAATAAAACGTAATTGGAGGTTTCGGGGGTAGTCTACTTTTTCTACCTAACGACATACTATTTTGTGTATGTAGTACGACTGCTCAACACTTTGCTTGGGAAACTGTTTAGTAAATTTCTGTTTCGGTAGTCTTTTGTTCTTACTTGTTTTGTCGCTGTACTGTTGTTTAGTGAAGCTTATCATTTATTATTACCATCGTCGTATTAGGGTAAACATAAATCTTACACATTTTTCCACCATACTATTGCAGCAGCTAGTATTGGTCAGTGTAACAAGCAGCTATCAAACGATCCTAGATTTTTGAATTTATCGAAACTTGACAACTCCCACAATCACTTAGTTTTCTTTTGTATGTTCACAACGCAATAAAAAGTCCGTCTAACGTTATACTTGCGACGTCCAAACTTACAAACTGTCGGGTTGTATATGAAATAATGCTTTAAAATGCGTTTGAATGGTCAATTCCCATTTAGTTAATCGGCTTCTAGTCACGAGATTATAGGCTCATACCTACCCGACCGAAGCTGCTACCCCCGACCGAAGCTGCTACCTTGACGTGGTGGTCGGGCTTGCCTATCGTGATGACCCATCCGAGCTATATTGGCTGGAACATATGTTCCTGTAGGTTCTACCATGCCAGGCAGGTCGATTGGTGAACGGTAAGACTAAAAGCAGCAACTCAAAGTCTGAGGGCGAAGTCGTACTGCTGACTGTACAGAGGTGTGACAGCAGTAAGGTGTTTCCTTCGGACAATCAGCATGACAGCGATGCTGCCTTCCCACAAGGAGGGGTGGGGTTAGAAAAGGTCGACCCTAAAAATGTCACACCTCACCTTACCTCACGGATTTCCGTCTCCGGCGGTAAGGCCATCTGAAGAACGGAGCTAACACGTCAAAAACCTTCCACAAAAAGGCCGTGCGCGACCGGCCTCAAGCAGTTGTCCCTTGGGCTCTGCGGTCACGCTCCCAGGTCGTTAAGACCAACACTAATCCAATTTCCTTTTCAGGTTCCTCAAGAAATACCCTTCCACGGTGTGGGCAGCCGGGAAGTGACATCAGCCCTCATACCCGTAACAGCACGCGAGACAAAGTTGGTCACATTCAAATCCTTCCTACACCTTCTAATACCTCTCTTATCTCCATGACTAACCCTCCTCATGTCTCTTTATCACCTCGCACCGCTAGGGCAAACGATTCGAGTACGTGGAACTCTATTCCTGGTCTCCTCAAACCACGCTCTAAACTACACGTAGGAGCTTTTAACGTCCGAACACTGTGCCAAATAGGACAGCAGGCTTCCTTAGCTAGGACTTTAGAATCTCGCGCCATCGATGTGTGTTGCGTCTCCGAAACGCGCATACAGGATCCAAGTAGCATCATTCATTTGACCTCACCATGCCAAAATAAAGAACCGACTCGATTTACGCTTCGTGTATCTGGAAGCCCTGATTCTGCTTCCCGTGGCCTCGCTGGCGTAGGTATAGCACTGAGTCCTAGGGCAGAACTAGCTCTCTTAGAGTGGATCCCAGTAGACAGTCGTTTGTGCGCTGTCCGACTGAATGGAACAGTAAGAATCCGGAAAGATAGGGACACTCGTCGTTGCCTCTTCGTCGTCTCTGCCTATTCTCCCACTGACTGCAGCTCAGATGATGTAAAAGATGAGTTTTACAGAAAGCTTTCGGACCTTCTCCGAAAAGCTAAGCGCTCGGATGTAGTAATAGTGGCCGGTGACTTTAATGCTCAAGTAGGTAAACTAAGCGATAGGGAAAGACACCTGGGTGGATCTTATAGTATAGTGGCTCAAAGAACAGATAATGGCGACCGTCTGTTGCAGCTATGCTCAGATAATCGCCTGTTCCTTGCAAATACTAACTTTAAGCATAAGGAAAAACATCTTTTAACATGGCGACCCCCTAATTCGTCCCAACGTTGGACCCAAATAGATCACATCGCTATCAGCCACCGATGGAGGGGCTCGATAGAAGACTGTCGCTCATTCTGGAGCACATGCCTAGATTCAGATCATGCTCTAGTACGAGCGCGTATTTGCCTGGGTCTTACTGGACGTAGGAAAACCGCTGCAAGGAAACCTCTTAGGGGCCTACTTAATGATAGTCAAGCTAAGAGTATATTTCAGGAACAACTAGGAAAACAGTTAGGCAGCCATGTATGTGATGCTCACCCCGAGGCAGCATGGAATGATATCCGAAAAGCTGTGGAAACAGCAGTGATATCTGTTAGTAAGGTAAACCAGAAGGTTAGGGAGCAACACTGGATCTCAGCAGCATCTATCCCACTGATAGATGCTCGGAAACTCATTCCACCTGGCTCTGAACATAGTGCAGAGCGGAGTCAGCTTAAGCGCAAGCTGACAAGAAGTCTACGCAATGATCGCGAACAGTGGTGGGTAGCGAAAGCAAGAGAGATGGAAAAGGCAACGGCAATAGGTAATAGCAGACAATTGTTTAGACTCGTTAAGGAAACCGGAATTAGGAACCCGACTGTTAGCGAAACAATCTCAGAGAAAGATGGACATATTATTCATTCTCAATCCAGGAGATTGGATCGATGGGCAGAACACTTTAGGGATCAGTTCAACTGGCCTTCAGCCACACTTCGGTTTCCCACGATCTCCAGTCAACCTGAATGGCAAGTTAATGTAGGTCCTCCGTCTCTTTATGAAGTTGAAAAAGCCATAGGAAATCTGAAACGAGGGAAAGCAGCAGGCCCTGACAGGTTTACTCCTGAGATTTTTAAGGATGGTGGTCCAGTATTAGCAATGAGATTAACCGAGGTCTTAGGTAGAATTTGGGAACTGGACGTAATCCCATCTGACTGGTCTCAATCACTGATTGTGCCAGTTTATAAGAAAGGACAAAAGTCCTCTTGTGACAATCACAGAGGAATCAGTTTGACTAATATAGTGTCTAAAATATTAGCTTCAATAATACTTCGACGCCTAATCAAAGCTCGTGAAGAGCAGACTCGAGAAAATCAGGCTGGTTTTCGACCTGGACGTGGTTGTATAGATCAGATATTCACACTACGTCAGGTTCTAGAACACAGACACACATTCAGACGCCCCACAATGGTAGTATTTCTCGACCTTAAGGCGGCATTCGACTCAGTTGATCGTGAGGTTCTATGTCAGTGTTTGTCACTGAAAGGAGTACCAAAGAAGTACATTAACCTTATAAAGGCTCTCTACTCGAACACAACTGGTAGAGTGAGAGCTTATGGCGAACTGTCATCAGAATTGATTACCTCAAGTGGTGTTCGTCAGGGCTGTCCACTCTCCCCATTCTTGTTCAACTTTGTGGTCGACGTACTTTTAGAGATAACACTCTCCTCATCTAAATTTCCGGGGGTTGAACTTCTACCGGGAGGTTCACTTGTTGACTTAGAATATGCAGATGACATAGTTTTATTTGGTGAAGACGCTGACAAAATGCAGAGTCTTCTGACCACTCTAAGCAACAATGCAAGCATGTTCGGGATGCGATTCTCTCCCTCGAAATGCAAAATGTTGCTTCAGGATTGGGTTACTTCGACACCCGAACTAGTGATAGGGAGTGAAGTAGTTGAGTGTGTCGACCGCTTCACTTATCTTGGAAGTCTCATCAGCCCTTGTGGTCTGGTGTGTGACGAAATCTCAGCACGGATACAGAAGGCTCGACTAGCTTTTGCCAACTTGCGTCATTTATGGCGTAGGCGAGATATCCGTCTACCAACCAAAGGACGTGTTTACTGCGCAGCAGTTCGTTCCGTCCTACTTTATGGCTGTGAAACATGGCCGGTAAGAGTAGAGGATATTCGTAGGTTACTAGTATTTGATCATAGGTGTCTTCGAAGTATTACTCGTATATCCTGGGACCACCGAGTAAGTAACGCAACTGTTAGGAAACGGGTACTAGGTAAGGATGGCAAATCAATTGATGAAGTAGTGAAACTTCATCAGTTGAGATGGCTGGGACACGTGTTACGTATGCCCAACCACCGACTACCTCGACGTGCTATATTCAGTGGTATAGGAGTAGGTTGGAAGAAAGCTAGGGGCGGCCAGACCAAAACATGGCACAAATCCATGAAGTCACTGACAAGTGGACTGAGTCATGTTGGTAGGTGTAGACTACCTGGTTGGGGACCGCGAGATGATAGCAACCGATGGTTAGAGACCCTGAATGACATGGCTCAAAATCGTTTGCAATGGCGCAGGTGCATCCACTCTCTATGTTCTCCCAAATTCTAATTATCTGAATTCTTCATGCCCCTTTTTTTCCGCTTTCCAAATTTATTGCACTGGATTTTACTCGTTAAATAACATCTCCAAACCCTAATCTTCCCGATTACTGCTTATACTCTTGCTACCTCTACCACTACGGGATTTGAATCGACCACTGCATCTCTGTGTGCTAATGTGGTATGGCAACTCGAACTGATGTACGTACGTACTAAGTTCTACGTTGTTACTGACTGACTGACTGAGGCTCATACCTCTATAGAGTTTGGGTCCTAGAATATCACCTAGCCTCATATAAATGTTGTTAATAGTTTAGTATTAGAACCTACACAGGTATATCGTTATTAACTAAGTTATTTTCGTTTTAGGCAATGCCTGCTCGACATCGGAAAAACTCAGCCGAAGATGAGGTAGAATTTGAGGTGGAAGATATACTAGATATGCGTACAATCAATGGAGAACCAGAGTACTTAATCAAATGGAAAGGACATTCTCCGTAAGTGGTAATGTCATTTCAAAATGACCATCTAGTTCAAAAAATACTTGGGAACCACAGTCCAACTTAAATTGTCCAGTATTGCTCAGGCGTTTCCTTGATAAGCACGCAGCTATTGAGCCAACAGTAGCTACTATTGTAAGAAGTGATACTTTTGACGACATATTTGCAGCCTGAAAGCGCTGAACCGTACGGATTTGATCGTGGGCTAGCACCTGACTTTATCAATATGGTTACGAAAAAGGACAATGAACTGTATTTCCTAATCAAATGGTAAAAAATTACTTGCCTAACTCATCAGTAAATATTAGGAAAGGAAGTCAAGTCCGCGATGTAGTACCTGCTGCTCAAGCAAACATTCGGTGTCCACAAATTGTTATCAAATTCTACGAAAGCATTTTGCATTTTACTTGAACTATCTGACCTAATCAACTCTGTTTTTATCAAAGATTTAGTAAACGCTAATTTCTATTATTGTTATATTTTTGAAAAATAATCAGATAAATTGTTGTATACAATTAAACTTAGGATTTTCTGTACAAAAATTAGAAATATATAGAAGATAAAATAGTCTGGTAGATATTGAGAGCATATACTTTCAAAGAGAAGCTTGTAAGGTTTTCTTTATCTCTATGCTTGATTGAAGTGGGCAATGAGATCATCCTTTTCTTGTGTCGTCATTTCGTGAACAAATACAGCATTTTCCTTTGCAAGCTGTCTTATCTGTAACACAGTGAGGAAAAGCGGTTATGAAATTTTTTTAGCGCAAATTACGAATACAATCGTAAATATCATTGATCATCCGTAGAGTAATCAAATTCAAATAAATATGAAACGGATGATGTTACTCACAGTTGGTATTCGTGATCCATTATCTGAATATCATATCATAGACTTATATTAAAACTTCAGCGAATACCATTCGATTAACGAACGTGAAAAAAGGATTGTTCTCTATGGATATAGTGTTAGGCATATATTTCGACTCTTATCTGAGGATCCATTGTTTACGGAGTATGAATACTCTAATCCTAGTAACCTATTTCGCACTCTAATAATCCAGTTTGTTATGTTTATGTTTGTAAGAAGCTTGAGAAAATGCAAGTCTTGCTATCCGCTGTAAGTTTCATTTAGGTCCTAATGTGGTATCACATAATCGTATATAATCAATACTTATCGTCTGGTGAACTTTTAGTGTGTTAATAACCAATGGATATAGGCCCCTGTCGTTTGATAAAAGTTTAAAAAGAATTGTCCAGGTACAGATTGATCCAATAGAAAGAGGTTTAAACTACAAAACCCATCTTAGTTAAGACAAACTATAAAAGCAACAAAAGAACATCAACAAAGTGGAAGTAATACTGTTATACAAGGGTTAGAGTGGTGGTGGCTCAGTAGTTAAGGGGTTCGACCGAACAACTAAGCCACAGATTCGAAACCCCCTTCACCTACTCTAGTTTTGGAGTCGAGTAGCACCACTAGCCTTCATATTCAGAATACCTCTCGAAGCCAGATATCAGGCTAATCCGTTGACACAAACATAAAAGCATTGAAAATAAGTAAGGCATATCAGTAAGACTTAACATACTTCATTAATTTCAGCGATTTCCACCAGCGGTGCATCTATGATTGACGCAGGATTTCCAAATGTTCTTGGCAAAAACACTGGCAACGGTGGCGGGCCTAAAGGCTGTCGAGCTATGCTTTCTCTAAAATTATACAAAATGGTTTATATTACGACCTTGAACCGAGCGAAGAATGTTTCCTTCACGATGATGTCAGTTAACTAAGCTGTCAAGAAGCATAAATGATTATACGGCATACGCAGTAGCGTACTGTGGGACGAGTAAGTTTTGCGTCATGAACTATTTAACAATCTACACGTCAGAAACAAGAATAGGAAACCAAATGTTTTTAGTAAAAGGTGTAAAGATGGACGTATGAGTTAATTTGCTTGCAACGGGAGATATTCTAATAAATGAAAAATTAGAAGGGCACTAGAATTATTATAGAATAGGGTGAAGATATCACTTCTGGATACACGTTTCAAAATTTCTTTGGTGAATTGCTAAGGCTTCAATGGTAGGCAAGTTTCATTTCGAGTTACCAAATAGCCTTACTTCGTCGACTTAATTTGGTAGTGATAATTGACTTTACATAACTCATTAAATAAGAGTTTTCCTACCCAGATCAGAGCCGCACTTTAAGAGTTTAAACTGAAGTTTAGACTCAGTTGAATAGTTGAAAGTCAAGTGTCTCAACTATTAATTCGCAACTTCTAAAATTGGAAATTTGATATGAGTGTTTCTTAGATATAGTACATATTTCCTGTATCTTATAAAAATAGATAACACGCAAAGATATGCGAATGATTGCTAACCAGTAACGGTATTATGCCATTGGACTTGGTACAATCCATGTTTTAGTGATAACATTCATGATGTACATATTACTCATTTATGCCTGGACGCCAAACAATTGATAAAGTAACGAGAAATTGTTAGAAACTTACGCGTAGTATCTTGACCGTTCAATATGTTCTTGTGAATCTAGGGGATTGTAATCTGTTGCTCCAGCATCCACCACTTGACTAGTTAAAAAGGTCAGGTGAAATAAAATTATTAAACTAATACACGATTTTGGAGCAAAACAACATTCTTTCTATCGAAAAGCATCCAACCTTGAAACAATATCGCACATGGTTAAACTTAATCAGATGGCAAGTAGTGTCAGTTGATCGAAAGACTTATGAAGTAATACAATTCTGAGCTATAAGTATTTAAAAATAATTGAACCTTGTTTAGAGAATACACTTATAAGAACATGTGTGAAATTTACCATGTCACTGCCCAAATGACTTGGAAAATCAGTGAGATAATGCACATGATCACATATATTTACAGGATCTGTATTGCAGCCGTAAATCATGTTAACTACTCGCAATATTATATGACACTTCATGGTTATTATGCAACACCATTTTGTCTTGTTAATGATTTATACAATAGATTTTCTGATTATCTCTCAGATTTTGCATGTTAAAATGTGGAACTTACGAGTCGTCATTAGTGCGTTCGTACAAGTGAATGCCTTGAACATATTCAAAATTACTGTTTCAAAGTATGTAGGCCACTAAAAGCATATAAAAAGGGTCCTGAAGTTTCGTGAGTTCGAACTCTCATAGATCAGCAGCTAAGAATTGTATCATTTAGACTAAACATCATCGTCATGCTTCCTAATGATACGAAAGGGGTATGTTACGACGGTTTGTATTCCTTTTCCCTCCCAGCTTATTAGAACCAAGACCTTATATAATGAATTTCGAAAAAAACAACTTAATTACTGCAATATACGATAATGCGTTTTTATTACAGAGTAGCTCAAGGGGTTCAGGAACTGCTAAACAGCAAACCAAATATTTACTAAAAATGTAATTAGATTTTATAGACTTCTATTACTATTATCACATTCACGGACGAATTAATTTGTAATTTGGATGACTCACTTTTCAGCAACTTTTATTATATTCGTCATCATGGTATTGATATCTGACTGAGGTTCATTTGTAACAGGATCTGGAGGTGAAAAACTGTAATTTAGAAAGTAGACAACCAAATTAAAAAGACTTTTATCAATATAAGATCGAAGATTTTACATCAACTCATAATCATTATCCGTTATGATTTCAAGAGTGATCTTTGTAGAAAGTTAAGTCGAAGTTCATAAAATATTTTTGGAATTGAAAACACAAAAGAAGAATCAGTACAATGGATGGGTTGGTTTAATACCAGTAAACAGGCTCACTGTGATATTGGGACAGGGTGATTTATGATTAACGTGTCATACCTGTTGCACATGTGGTGACTCAGTAGACAAGTTTCAGAATTTAGACTGATAAGTACTAGGATAGTCTTAGTAAGTATGCAGACTGAGGTGTATGTAAATAGGGTAGAGATCCTACTAAGACGAAGCGTGAGTCCTAAACTCCATGGCGAACAACGTATAAATACACGAATTGTTGGGGCATTTATGTTCAGATAGCCTATATTATCAATCCAATCCCCAATAGTAATCAAGGGAAAAATCAAACTCTGACAACTGATAATGGGTAGCATTTGTAACGGATCAGTACGAAACCGAAAAATCACCAAAACTCAAAGTTAACGACCAGAAGGTTGACAACTATATGATGTGTCTTTTGCTTGATATGATTTTTTTACACGGAGACACTAAGAAATGAGTTACACTGCTGATCTGTTTCTTCATAATTCTTGTCCTTTTTTCTTGCCATAAATGCTATATGGTCCTGATAGTACTGAAACCGTGACAGGTGGTTCGTTTCAAGGATAATCAGTCGAAAATTCAGATAACCATTTGACTTATTGTATATACATGACGAAAAAGATCTCTTTAATAAGAACTATTAAATCATTTACATGAAGGAAAGACTCTCCACACCACTAGTTATATCAGGAAGAAAAGAATTTTATTTTAATAAATAATAAAATTATGAAATGCGTAATATTGCACCTATCAAAATGTGAATAGTAGGGTTATTATTGAATGACATATCACACAAAGTAATATCAAGCCATAAAAATACAGAAAGAAATATAAACATTACATCAACACTGATCAAACAGTGAAAACAGTTAAGACTATATTTAAGAAACTCTCTGTTGTTCTCCAGATCTTTTGTGCTCAAGGAAAACCCACAACTATTGACTTCTTTGATCAAGCTCATTAAGTTTTTCAAATCTTTGAATCTCATTTAGTAGTTGATACCAAAATATGTACTAATCTTTACAGGAAACTATTTTATGGCGAATAGTAGTTAGTAAGTAGACTTTGATTCATACAACATACAAGGGTCACTAACACCTAAATAAAGGTAAATAAATGTTCGGAGTCGATCTTATTGTTATTAGGTAAATACGAATGGTCTTAGTCAATGGCACAAGATTCTAACCTGTTGTCCGACTCGATATAAGTTCCGAACACTGAAAGTTCCAAGGTATAGTTTGCTTTTAGAAGACCAGGAATAATACTTTTTGAACGCAAATAGTTAGGACTGGTGGGACATCGAGACAATAATAAAGCTATGGGAGAAGAGCTGATAATAGAGACAGCATAAATAATAAGACGAAAGAACTTGGTTGTAGAAAAGGTTGTCTTGAGTGGTGTCAGAGAAGTGTGAGCTGGTTTAACTCCTCGATTGTTTACATTGTGGAAAGAAACATATTTTCGGAGTATCTGAAAAAAAACTGGACTAGTAGTGATCGTGGAGACCTAGGAGTATATTACAGAGCTAAAGGCGCAACTGTTCGAGGCGAGTCACACACAGGCCTTTTGAGAGACGTTCCTGATGTGTTAGTTCCGTACGCTAAATACTTTACTGCCAGAGAAATCCATAGTATGGTGAGGTATTCTACTTTTAGGATCAGCATTTTCTAACCCTTTCCTTTCGTTGTGAAAAGACAGAATCGCTGCAGATGCTGGTTACCTGAGAAAAACACTGTACTGCCGTAACACCTCGGTACAAACGGAAGGTGGGGTTTACCATGAGACAATAAATCGCTACTTTTAGTTTTGCTGTTATCCAGTCGACCTTTCTAGTATGGTTGAACATACAGGAACGAGTGTCCCAGCCAATAAACTCGACTGGATCATTATGCTGTGTAACCTCTACCACTTCACTAAGACAACAGGTACGGTTGGGTACGAATGATCTGAGGAAAAATAATGGTTAGTAAGGAAATAGTAAAATTACACCACATACACAACTCAATAGATGAGCATAGCAAATGAGTCAAAAATTTGTATACCTTCCATATGGTTGCTGTGGCCCATCGTATGAAAGCTGGGGGCTTGGAATTAATCTCTGACGTTCAGCTTCCTCATCCTAAATTTGCATCAGTAAAATTAACCGAATAAATACAGTGGTATGAATATAATAAACAATGACAACATATTAGGTGAAAATGATATGTTAACTGGTGTTTAAAAGTTGTTACAGAACCTTTTTACTTAATAATATACAATTAACCGAATAAACTTGAAAACACCTTTGACTTCTAGTTTGAGTAGGTACTAACATATCGGTCTTTTCTACCTAATTAACAAATCGTCTCAGATGTACTACAACGACTGCCTGTTCAGGTTTTCGGACCCAGAATCTAGAGCAAGTACTAAGCAATGACAGAATGACTGAAACTGTAGTCTTAGATCAACAACGTATACTGTGATTAAAAAAGTTACACAAAACGCAGACGTAATTATTTACTTGGTCTTATTTATATCAAGTGATTATTAAGCAATCGGTGACTAATTGAGACAGGTAGCAATTAGCTGGAGTAGAGGAATGTGCAATGGTTCATTCGTTACACTATTGGTTAGAAAATAATCTTATGCTGGTCGACGTATAGGATAAGATCTAAGCTAGGCAAAGGAAAATACAGTACGTATTGATTAAGCCGATGAGTAAACGTCTGGGTGGTTTGCGTAACTGAAGATTCCTCCCTTATTGTTTGTAGACCTTAGGTATCGTTAATATAAATATGGACCCATTTAACCTTGGTTAGCGTAGTGAACACAATTTTTATATCTATCTGTTAACTATCCAACAATTCTTAAACCTTTTCTTTTTTAACGTCCTCTTGATTTTAGTGACACTTTTCCTGCGATATTCTAAACTAAGGATGAATTTAGAGAGTAAAATGTTTCATCCTTTCATAACTGGACCATAGATTCTTTTGTTATTTTAACTGATATAATGTACTGTTCTATATTTACATCTCACAACGAAAGTAAATCCTAAAACAATCTGAGGCTCATACTATCCATACAACGAAGTTTATGAATCCTTAAATAAAAGTGAATATATTTTTCGACGGAACTTGAAAACAAATAACACATACATTATGCCTCACACCAAAGATGAGTTTGATAGCCTAATGAATGCAGTTGAACAGTTATTGAACTGTACTGTGTTTGAGAAGATTGCTTGTACCGTATGTGGTGCACATTGGTAAGACTCGAACGATTTTTCACGACAGAACTTAGTTATTCATTAATGAACCAGTAGTAAAATGACCTGTGGGTTATTACAACGAGTGGGAAATTGTCTGATATCTGAAGTGCTAAACCTATTAGGCATAGAGTACCTTTCATTGTGTGTTAACAGATCATACTGTCTAGAAGTCCTAATATTTTTCTTTATACTGAGTGTCATTTAGCAACGTAACAATAACTTAATGTGTCGACTACCTGTAATGTCTGTTAATATCAGTATCTTTAAGAGCTTTAATTTAATAATAGGGTTGTCATTAGTAATCATTACTCAGTTACTTTACTCTGATCCAGGTAATCTATCACACAGCACAACAAGTATAATATCTCTTCTGAATAATACAAGGTTAAAAAAAGTGGTCTGACCATTCAGTATATCAATGTAAAGTCGCAAATAAGCGCATTGATTCAAAAAGCCACACTTTGTCACAGCACAGGAAGAGAAAATCAATAGAAATGAACTGAAATTCACATGAACCAAAAGCATATAATAAATCACACGACCTTCCTCCCTCCACTAGCAAAATAGACATGTATCAATCAAATCCATTTTAAGCACTATGTTGCCATTGTAGTGTTTATAAGACAATATTTTTCACCCCTTTTTCAAGCAGTATTACGTCATTCAGGCACTTCAGGAGCTAGACAAAAATGTGTTACAACCAAAAGTAGATTCATGGCACTTGGAAACATAAGAAGAAAGTATAGATTATGGACCTACTAGATTATTTTGCATGATGGCTGACCAAAATATTTAAAACAACCGAAAAAGTTAAAGTAAAACGCTCTTAGTTGTGTGATATAGCCGTTGGGTCATCTTTTGATTGGTAGGCTATTAGTGTATTACTAACAGTCAGATATCTTCATGTACAAAAGATATAGCTAGAACTGTATGATAGTACTTATTTGTTAAAGTCTGCTAAAAAAAGATAAAGTGGGTATATAACCAATCAATACCGGGACTAGTCGAATTTTCACCTTTCAGTTGGCTGAACGGTGATAACGGATCTTAGATTAGTAAAGCAAAATATTTAATGGTTTTCATCTTATCCTTGGTCTCTAGAAAACTGTTATGACGCACCCTATCTAAGAGCTCACATTGATACGTACTCTCCCTACACACAAGATCGGCTACTCGAGAGAAAGAAGGTTAATTGCTTAACCGAATCGATTGCATCTGCACTCATTAATACGTATCTGTCGCGAAGGAAATTGAGCCTAGTGGCATATGTTTCATCCCTTGGAAAAAAATCGATTCTTATTCAATCACATGGACTTGTCGTCTGGCGATTTCCGATTGAGTCACTGTATTAGATTTACTAAGCGGGACGGTAAACGACAAAGACTAGTTAGAAAATGTTATATTATTCGAACATTTCATTTAAGATAAATAAAGCGGATAGCCCGCATAACTACTACTCCATTTAGCTAAAGTGAGAATCGATCAGTCCTAATGTATTATTGCACATTTAAGAGAAAAGTACTTGATATATTCACAAACTACTGTCTGCAGTAGGATCTAACAAGGTAAGTAACATAAACAGGAATATCGACTACATGTAATTATTTTGACTGGTGATGAAAAACGAAAGCTAGATGGGTTATAACTGATATGATAAGCATTAATAGTAATAACTCCGTCTTTCAGTTAATCACAGAAATAACACCCTGGGACGGTCTGTAACCATATTAATTGAGGTATTCAGACTGAATCATAAAAACGACAGTGATATTTCATGGGGTGTACAAATAGATTATAGAGGAATGTAAAGTAAAATGGTAGGAAAACTTGACACGTTACCGTCCAGTCTTGTAGAAGACCAGAGTGGTGAAGACGAAATCGAAATTAGTCCTAGAGATTTTTGGAAAATCAGAATGTTGAAACTACTGTACGTAGTAAATAAGTTAAAAGTACATGCTGATGATCTTTAGGGAAGATCTCTATCCATTTGCGTACTTTGCATAGGATAAGTCCGGTGAACTGGTAAATGTTTATGACGTATTTAGATATTGGCTTCTATCACTAGTTTTTGAAGGGAACTATAAGAAGTTTATATCATGTTAGTGAAGCTAACTTTCCCACTTCCTCAACACTGAAAATAATTAAACTATCGAAACCAAGCTCAACAGTACGGTCAATGGTGCTGCAATGAATAGAAATGAATAACTAGTTATTTTTAATATTTATGCTCATTTCTGGCCACTAATTTTTTGACTGATAACTGATATACCCATATTTACTTCGTCGAATAGCTTAAGAGTTCCAGTTTTCTGACATATTTTCGTTTGAATGGTGATTCACTTTCCTAAAATCTAATTAGTTAGGGTGTGGGGATTGGTTCTGAATAGACATCCTAAGCTATTAGACCATCATATATGAATCAATCTAGATAGCTCTGTTCTCCTATTCAATATTGCAACCAACATTTGTCTGGAGTGTAGATTATTTGATTTAGATCCCTATTTATCACTGATTGGTAGGAAACTACGGAGTCACTTATTTTACGGTACTTAAAAACTGATTACTTCAAGAATATCCTGTGGATACTTTTACGTAGAAACTACGGATTTATCAATATTGATTAATTCACCAAGCGCATTGTTTACTATTTAGATTAAACAGAGTTTATTATGAAGATTATTAACGTACTCTGTGGTTATCCTTAGAAAAGAAAACACAGCTTTTGGTGTACATGTTTAGCTGTGGTAGTGTGAAGCCATTAAATGTCGACAAATAAGTTTTCTCGCTCCCCTTACAAATCGTATCAGCACTTTTCATGGGAACTTGTCTAGAACTTAAACGCGAAGATTCTAGATATCTAAGAGGTTTTAATAAAGCGTTGGCAGATTTCGCTCAACAGACTAACGGAATCGATCTAACAGTGAACACTAGTGACGGGTTCAAAGTACAGTTAGAATTAAAATGACACAATCAAATAATACTATCATCGCTATTAATGCATGATGTATAGTAGTCAGTTTTGTACGCTAAGTTTAAGTAGTACGGAGATTATTAAGAGATTAGCACTCGGTCCTTAAACTATAAGGATAAAGGTACATCTGACGCGGGAAGCCCATAAAAATGGTTAATTACGGGTTTTATAGTCATTGTACTCGTCTTCAATTAAAAAATCAATTGTTAGCTAAGTTATCGCTCCATGAATGAATTTCTTGCTTGCGAGCATACACACTGTTGAAGTGAACTGAAGTGAAACATGGTATTTTTCGGAAATTACAACAAATTTTAGAAACGCAGCATACTGTAACAATTATACTATTGATACAATTTATTAGGTGCGCGAATATTAACTATACATAATACTTTGCATACCAAAAGTGTGGATGGATGATGATATCTTCAAGTTTGAAAACAGCTATACACACACACTTTGGTAGTGCCAAGCAGGTTAACAGAAAGATAATTAGTAGACGTCAGAATTGCAGTTGTCAAATGACACATTAATACCAACGAACGCAAAGAACCTGCTAGTAGGCTTAGCATTCAGTTGAAGGGCTTGGAATGATTGAAAGTACTGACAGTGGTGTATTAGTTAACTTTATCAAAAAGTTATATTTAATCTACAGAGTCTGCTTCCATGTTCATCAGCCACTAACAATTAATCATTGAGGATATTACTTTCAATTACAAGAACACTGAATCACCAACTTTAAACTGTATCTTTCCGGTTTATGTACCATTACTGGTGTCAAGATTGGACGACTGATTCTAACGCGGTTACGACAGAACAGCATTCACTTTAAAATCACCAGATAAACAGGAAGATCTATGGAGAAAGTAAGCATTATGTACTTGCAAGTAAGAAAAATTGCAGCTTTCGAGTGTTGTAATTTAAGCGGCCTTAGGCCGTTGATCCTACAGTAAATCTAAGAACGGGAAACACACACAAGTGAGGAATCTAGTAGAGTAGGATAATTCGGTTCTGAATAACCGTGAACATCTTGGAAACACGGGGATCAAAACAAAGCCGTATTAGCCTTATGTCTATAGAAGGATAGGTATAAGGACCAGTTGAGAATGTTTGTGTGAATCGCAAAGCATTTAAAAGTTACCAACAACTGCTGATATATGATTCAAACTTACTTTAGTTACTTATAGTGTTTCACTCTGGATTATTTGTATAATAATGTTGAGTTCAGAGATTATATCGTAAAATAACATTTCACACTAAGTACTACAACTTAATAATTCTGCCCTAAGCAATGAAACATACAAACTTAATAGCATTTGACTAGGCTAGACAAAAGATGACAGGAAATAAACAAAAAGGTTTTGCAAATAGCTTTAAAATCATTCAGTACTCACTTCGTCACTTCCTGAATTTGTACAAAGACCACAGCACCAACTCACCATGCGTCTAAAACACTGCTTTACTATAGAAAACGTCACAAAAGCAATAAAAAAGAATAACGTGTTGTAATGATTTTATTTTATTATCTGAACAGGTACAACCATAACTGATAAGTCAAAAAGTAATCACCAGGCTCACTTAGTGGCCATACCTAAAATGAAACATAGTATAGAAAAAGCTACTACTTACTTCTGCAGTTCCCATTCACGGTTGTCTAGAGGGCAAACTTGTCGTGTTTTCAACCATCGAGATATACAGTGAAAATGAAAGGCATGCTTTGTGGAAGATTAAATTTTACAAAATTCAACTCACATTACAAACACCCCAAGCAACAGTACACTCTTCACTTGTAGCAGAGGCGTGGTTAGCTTGACATTCAATACCTATTACGTATATTATGAGGAGAGAATAACCCAAGCAAACATAAGTCCATTATGTGATTTCGACAGATAGCACAATTATCAACGACGATATCCCAAGCCCATAAAGCAACCGCATACCACTTTTTTATTTCGAAACGTTTCTTATTTTCACTAAGGGATGCCACTGGCCCTGTATCATCAACTTCCATTTCTGACATCGCGCGCTGGAAATTTTTTAAGATTGCCGGTTTTACCAGTAATATTTAACAAACCAACACCCAATCGACAGAAGATCTGTGATCCATATCTTTCTATTTTCGGTAAGTTTCTGTGAATGTCTAGTCTTCTCTTCTACTAGTCATTTGAGAGTGCGGACACTATTTCTTCTGGTTACAGGCGTCAAGAGTTGATAAAAGTTTATGGAGACTAGTACACAACTGTTATTTTGTCCTAGAGCTCTGGAATTAAAGACGTAGCTTCATTTTTTAATGTTTTTCAAGGCACGTGATTCACCTTACAAACAGCGGTTTGCAGCTCAATCAGTTTTCAATCTTGGATTTCACTGTGTGTACTGTTGTGGAAATACTAGAATCCAACTTGATAAATGTCTGTTTTAAGGCTTATATAGTTATGAACACCTTAGCATCAACCGCACGGCGGTGGGCCATAGTCTTAAGATCGTGGCTAACTGTCTCCCCATCGTGAGACCGATCTACAGTTACGGACTCTTCCTAATCCTTTACTTATTTGCTTTTGTATCCACAGTAGGCATATGGAAACACTCTGTGGGGTTGACAGGTATCAACCATTTTTTGAACGAGTCAATCAGAACACCTAAGCGAGTATATGCATCTGCGTCTCCCGTTATTTTTCACCAAATTTTTACATAATCAGCGCATAGTAGAGTCGAGGAATCGACAGTACTCAGTAGTTCATTTACATATAGAATGAGAAGCAAAGAACTTAGAACAGAGCCTTGGATTATCACACTGAGCACTGGTTTTCATAGGGAGGATCTACAATTTACTCCTACTTTCAGTCTTCAACCTACCAAGAAATCTTTTATCCATTAAAGGAGAAGTCCGATAATCCCCAGATTTACCGGCCCCAACAGAAGTTTGCCATTCGACGCCATATCGAATGCTTTGCTGAAGTCTACCTAAACAGCATGCACTTAGTTGCCATAATCTGGCAGCCCTGTCAATTTCTCTTGCTGTAAACAGATTTGCTGTGCGAATCTAAACCTTCTTAAAGTTATGTTGTTCACTTTTCAACAAGTTGTTGATTTTCAAGAAGGCCATTACGGCCTTGTGACCATTCTTTCCAGAATTTTAAATGAGACCCTGGTGAAGATGATGGGTTTCTGTTTCAAAAGAAGTCGTCTTGATCCTGTCTTATGGATAGCAGTAACATATGCATCCTTTCAGTCTGTAGGCACCCCACCTTGAGCAAGTGACGTAGTGAGTATCATAGTCACTGTGCAATTCGTATCAGTTTTTCTGTAATTTTGACCCTGTTCAGCTGGTTTTTCCGAGTCTTAAGCGCTAAGGCCTCTTAGTACGTCATCTCGATCAACGTCCACACCGAGTAACACATTTGGTGACCTTGTATTTGGATATGGTCTTTGTCTAGAGGAATCTCCTCAGTTAAAACTATCTTTAAATAGTCCTCTTTGTCCTTGTCTTCCGTAATTAACCTGGCAACCAAATGGTGCCTGTTTGTTATCTAATTGATGTACGAGAACTTTCCTTTCTGTTGCCTCATTATAGACCGACCTTATGACCGTGAGTTTAGACTAAGTCTAAAACAGATGATGAGTTTCGTAGAAATATACATTGTTCTGGAATAAATTTAGGACGATTGCGGTTTCTGCCGATTCGTGATCGGAAATGTTTTACACGACCCTACCTCTTAGTTTCACCAATAAATAGACAGTATATTAGACTCAACTACTATATGGCTTCTGCACTTATTTAGACGATATTTCAGTTTATTTACAGGGAAGTTATTCACATACACATTATGAACTGAGGTATTTAGCAACTAATCCAATGTCATGACCTTTGGATTTTAGATGACAGCGTGCCAATTTACATGTCTCTGGGTCATGCACCGGTATCTTGAAGGCTCGTTTGGTTACGGTAATTTTCATGTAAAGGGCAATCAAACAAGGTAACAAACCAAGCAATTGAATTCCACTATCATAGGTTTTAAAAGAATACTTGCTTGGCTACTTTGGAATCCGCTTTTCTCCCCATTCTGTAAAGCTTATGAATACTGACTCCTGTTCCAAACTAGGGAGTAGCTTGCCCTTATGGGAATTAACACGGCTTAGTTTGTGTTCAAATCTAGAGTTCGGTTTTTTCGGAAGACTATTTTAACTTACAGGAACTTATTGACCTCTTTGAGAGATGTGTGTTCGTAACCTTTGTGTTCTTTTTTATAGGCTGTCATCAGTTGCTCGGATAAATTTCGGAAAATATGTTCTGGTTTTACTAATTTCACTTAACTTTCTAGGTGCTACATTTGACCAATATTTAAATTTTGTTGTGTTTCCTCGTCAAATACTCTACAGTGTATAGATTTTGCTCCTGCATATTATGTCTTGTGTTAATTCAGGGTTCTGTATTTGGATCTGTTGACTCGTACATTTCTGAGCTCTCTGTAACTTATTTCTTTTTGTGCACTTTTTCTTTTCCCCTGTAGCGATGACTACATCTGTGCTTTTTTCCGTCTCTTACATTACAGGGGTCCACCGAGATTATTTTATCCGAATCTAAAGCTTAGTTCATGGTAAAGCTTCCTGGCTTTTGTAGATATGACAGGTAATCATCTGCTGCTAGATGTTCTACCTGGGGACGGCGTTTTAGCTTGCCTGAAAAATCAGCAAAGGCTTTCTGAAGCAGCATGCATAACGCAGCTTATTTCGGCAGTCATTCAATATGTTTTAGTACTTTCTTAATAACCTTTAAATGAAACTAGTCTACCAAACTCAGCGGCATTAGTTTTTGTGGTAACAATTGTGATATATCATATTCATCAAGGTGTTTTTCGACAAGACAGTTCATCGTTTCGCCCTAATACTAAATAACAGGACAAAGAATATTTAATGTTACCTTGTTGAAGATCTAACTGAAGTGTCAAGTCAATATTTGCATGTTTCCGGTGGTCTTTTAAATGTAGTAAACTCTTTGTGGGAAGTAGGCATTACTCCTGAGTTGCCTACGAAAGGTAAGGATAGGGTGATTTTAGATGTTTCGCTCGGAGCCTGAACCTGTGCCGTCAAGGTAATTTTGTGACGTCATTCGATACTTGTCAGAATATTTTAATCATTTAAGATTAAAGGACGGAACACTATGTTTACACTGTACAAGCGATCTCGAATAAATCTGTCGAAAATATGTCGAAACATCGTTGAACAGGCTAATAATGTGTAGTTTTCATTTTGAAGGTATCTTTATTTACAGAAACCTAGATGCGGTTCGATGAACTATATATTTCGGGAGAAATCACCAAGTTGTATATGTAGTCTTGAAAATTTCATTCATAGAGAACATACACTTTAGGGAGTAGGAAGTAAGTTAACTGCTGTTTACCCGACTTTGAAGTCCAGGCATAATGTGTTAGACTGCAGAATTATGGCCTACTATGATTTTAGTACTGCTCTAATAATAGACCTAATCCTAAAATTGTAGATTTGTCATGATATAACTGCCCAATCTATAAGACCTTACGTGGAAGTCACACCATCGACTACACCAATTCACTGTATCGTATCAATTACCAATACATGATGTAGAACAGGGTTAGTTTAGAGAAGGAACAATATATTTAATATGAAAGGAAGATATAAGGTAACATTCAGATGGACCACGCCTGCATGGCCGAGCCATGCCATCCGATCAACTCCAGTCTATTCAGTTCATTATTCGCGCTTTCTCCATCGTTCTGTATTTCTCCGCGTTAAATGTTGAATATCTATTTTCCGAGTTGTCTTGTGTTCAGCTTTGAAGATTGTGTGGTTATGGTCCAATGCCACTACAAGACTGCTGTCCTGATCGAAAACGTACCTTTCGAGCTTAATATCCTCATCAGAAGTTCTTATTCAATAAGTACTTGCTAGTGACGCTACTCAATAAACAGAAGTGAGTATGGTCCGGTGTTTAAGTATATTAGCCGAGCAGTACTAATTATACTCATTTTGTGTGTATGAAACCAGGAGTATATCTCTTCTGATATTTTGGCTTTCTAGTGTCTTAAGTTCTTAACGACGAAGGTCGTATTAACATGTTATTCTTGGATATAAATGATTCTGTAGTGTCGCATAGAGTCGCGGTTGACTATTATCACGACTACAGGAAGACTATGTGCTAGTTAACCGATAAGATCCCCCGTATGCCAAATATCAGAAGGTGGTTGATGGCTGTGGTCGACATATATTCGTTGGCGATCTCGTGGTATCGAAAGAATACCGAGATCGTGCCAAAGGGCTATAAGTGTGGTTACTGAGCATAACCGAATACGTGCAAGGTCGCAATCAAAGGAAGGAAGAAAGTCTTTAGTACAGTTAAACAAACAAGCACAGTAAAAAATAACTGGTACAATTGGTTATAATAATAATTGTTTCCATTAAACCAATCGCGTTCTCATGAAAAAGTAGGTCACTACTGGAGCCGATCGCTAGAAGAGGTTAACACTTTCGATGGGTAGCGGTTCCGTTCGTGGGACTGATTAGCGAACGTGCGATTGTGGGACGAAAGGATTGGCAGAACAGGAAGCGATCGTTGATCCTTGAGTTGCCAATAAAAGTCTTTCACGGAGAACGGTACCAGGAGAAGTGTGCTGTATTTGCTGCTCGGGTTAGCGTACCACAACATAGTGGTTTGTATCCAGAATCTAGGAATTGAGTTCGTAGTGGTCCGGACCAGAAAACGCTGCAGACGTACGACGGAAACACTTTGAGCCAAGAAATCAGAAGCGACCACAACAACCAATTGCGGGACTAAACACATCCCAGAAGCATTCGAAGCCAGAACACTAACTGTGTGTGTTGACAAGAGCGTAGGTGATTAGGCCAGTTTTCACGAAGATTGACTGAAGTCGACAGTACCAGACGGGCGATGATCGGAGGCGTTGGCTCAGGATGCAAAAAATCAAAGAAAATCGAAAAAGTATGGAGTACAATGACGTGTCCATCGTTGATTGAGAGGTTATTCGCGAAAGCGTACGGGTAGGCGTATTAGGCGACCGGAATGTGAGACAGTAGTCTTGTTCTTACCTCGTGAGTCAAGAGTGGCGTTGTCTG